GAACAGGCCAGGAGAGGAAGTGTGCCATTTTCTTCTCAGTGAGCGTGACGTAAAAGAATAGCTTAAATCAGGCTTCTTTAGCTGCTCTCGCCTCACTTCGATGGGGCGTTTCTGTCTCCAGTACAGAAGCAGAGCTTTGAACTTATGTCTGAGGCTCTAAAAGATCTTAAGATGGCTGTTATTCCATTACAATTTAGCACACTAACTGGAAATATTCATATTTAGGCCTGTCAGTCAATAAATGTGACCCTGGCTGGAACGCGAACCCAGTCTGACAGCTAAATAGAATAGCTAAAAATACAATGTATGGGTCAAAATGATAGACATGTCTGTGATGCCAAAATGATATTCGGTTACACTTTATTTTGATGGTCCATTTGAGTATTAGGGTGCTTTGCCTCTAGCACTTTTTGTCCGCACCCGGGTTCGTTTTACGTCATAGTACGGTACGTTTAGCTAGTGTGAACGTGTCTTCTAAACTCGGGCACGCACCGTACATGCGAACTCTGGTACAATTCACTACCGCCAACTGTACAACAAACTATCCTTTTCATAACGTTCGTTCGTGTGTGTTTGTGTGTATGTGTATGTGTGTGTCACATTTCTTACCTTGGTGACACGCACGGGACTGAGCCAGGGCAAACAATGATACACAGTGATATCTGCTTGTCTCCTCCAAACACAGCTTCTGCAGACACTATGTGATGTTCTGAATGTTTCTAATATTTTTGCGGCAGATGGACGCGAGTCGCTTTCTGTATGTCCAAAACCAAAAGTTTCAGTTAAAGCAGAATGACCAGGATGTGCGGAAATCTTTCCATTTCGGCACTTGCTTGCGTCACCTAGCAACGGCCATAAACAAAACAGCAGTGCGATGATGCAAGCGTACCGCGGTTCGTCAGGAAAAAATACAGTGTGAACACAAACCAACCGAGGAGGTGGCAAGGGGGGGACAATCAAACTTTGGTAAGGTCCAGGCAATTGAGCCAAGTGTGAAAGCACCTTTAGTAGACTGTCTGCTTAATATCTGTTGATATGCCCCATAAACAGACATTTAACTGACTATAAGAAACTTTGCAAGTACATGTCAACTTACACTAACCCTAACCCCAACCTAACAGTCTGCTAACAAACTAATGAAAATTAGTTGGCATATAGATGCAATGTAATTTAAATTCAACAAAGGGACCATCAAGTGTGGCCTTATAATCTTTAATAATTATTATAATATTAAATGAACATTGTGTTCTATGTAGATATTTAGTAAATTTACTAACATAAATGTATAAAAACTGAAATTGTGAGTGGTACTGTGTATTTCTGAGGACTTTAAACTTAATTTTCTCAATATTTAGATTTTTTAAGCTTTAATTTCAGATATTCAAATAACTGTATCTTGTCCAAATATTGTCCTATCCTGACAAAGTATGCACCAATGGAAAGCGTATTTATTCCAATTTCAGATAATCGATAAATCTCAATCCAGGGTCACAAATACGAATGATTTGGGACAAGTAAAAAGCAAAACCTTAAAAAGAAATATTAAAAAGAGAGAAACTGTGTTTTAAAAACTACTATTTGGGATCTGAACAATGACGTAAGATAAATAATGTCAAAGACTGACCAAATGACTGTCTTTAATCAACACAACCCAAGCAATTAAATCAGCGTTGGCAAACCCAACCTACCAAATGGCAAACTTTGACCAAATCCACCAAATTATTAGATTTATTCAACCTATTCAGCAACATGACTTTGACTAACCCAACCTAACCAAATAACTAACTTTGACCAACTCCATCACCAAACTGACTATTTAAATAAAATAAAATGAAATGAAATAAAATAAAAGCTGGATTGTTATAAACCAGTGTTGGTTAAAATATAGACAAACCCAACGTTGTTTTGTTTTGTTCAATAAGATTTAAATGATTTTAACACAATAGTTCACTTTGTCTGTATTTAACCCAGCAGGTGGATTCATTTGCCCCAGCATTTTTTAGAATGTAACTTTAAGCAACTCTATCCAACCAATCAAATGACTAAGTATAAATGTTGACTTGGGAATAGTTGATTATGATAAGATGCTAAGATAAACAAAATAACAAATACTCATGGATAGGCATATGCTGAATTTTCAATTATTCAATATATTGTGATTATGAACAAACAAAATATTGATATCATGGGCATTTCTAAATACTGTGAAAGATTAGTTATTTAAACTTTTATCTTGATTTTAAAGAGATTTAGTATTTTTATTTGCATTTTACATTTTCACAACTTAACTTAAATATTGACAAATAAGTAAGTGACTATTTACAAAGTTATTGTATGGTAATACTGTCCAATAAGGCTCCAACATTAAGGATACTTTCACACCTAGGTGTTTGTTTCAGAACCTGGTGATTATCCCCTGTTAGCGCGGTTCGTTTGGCATATATGAATCCAGCAATCACTGTCTGATCTACGACAGAACAATCGGTCTGAGATTGCCTGAATGAGGTGGTCTTGACTCGATTATAACAAACTCTGGAGCTGAGTGATTGTAGTGAGAAAGTGATATGATCCACATACTAACAAATCAGGCTATATCACAGTGTATTATGGATATGTATTAGCCATGTATATTGCTATATGAAGAGAGAATTATGAGTAGGATGTCATTACTACCCGTAAATGTGAGTTTCTTGTCAAATATGAAAGTGAAAGCATGCTGAAATATTAACGAAAGCTGTTTATCCGATTGACCGATATTACCATCTAATTTTTTTTCTCCATATTTTAGTCTTATCATATTTTGTATTAGGCTTTTTGTTTTGTTCACCTCAAAAGAAAGATTGATCTGCTTCATGATCTGGCTGCAGACTCAGTTCATCTGTTATTTCTCTCTATAATGTAAGCCTAAAATGCATAATTCTAGCCAATGTTTTTTTAAGCTCAAAATTAATAATAAAAACAAAGTTAATGAATGTTGTATTCTTGATTTAAAATAACTAATTCAATGTTACAAAAAATGACAGGAAATAGGTTGGCTAATTCAATAGATCGGTTTTTACAACCCTTGAAACATCTGAAATGAGGGTATGTATGAGAAGTTTTAACTATTTTGGTCCATTTAGAAACTTTCCTGATTGAAAGCAAACAGCACCAAGTACAAAAATAAACATTGTAACAAGTTTAATCCCTTCCAGAACAAAATTATTGATCTACAGGTTTGAAAGTAATCTAAATTCACCATTAAAACTACAAAAGCTTTTATTAAAGGTTCACGAAACCCTTGAGTACTTATTTTTTTGAGATTTTAACAGATTTGTGTGTGAAGCGCATCAGTTGTTAGCACCTGTTATCTTTAACTGTGGGATAAACTGGGTAATTTTGAGCTTTTGTCAGCTAATTTCAGTTTCCGGGTTAAAAATGATTTTTGGGGCGTGATCAAAATCGGCGACGTATCGCAAAACAGCAAGTGCAAAGATGACGTGTCGGTTTCTCATTATTATTTATAGCTGAGTTTTCTTATCCTATGAGAAAAGCCTGCTTCCTAATTATTCATGACTGCACGTGCTTTCCGAAGGCAAGGCAGACCTGCCAGTGCCAAGCAAGCTGTGAGACATGGACCCACGACACACAGTATTTAACTGTTTATGAAGGCTCGTATGTGTTTGATTCCATGATCCACGTGGTTTGTTGCATGTTTTTCCCTGCGATGCTGTCAGGGCTGACACAGCAAAGCTGTTTGTGTCCAGCAAGCATTTTTGTCGGGAGAGCAGTACGAGAATTGGAGAATGGCGGACGTTTATCAGGAGTTCGTTCACATTTAGATACATCACCATGCTGCTGTGTTTGCCTAAATCCTCTAGATTACCAGTAGGGCTAATGGTTGAAATAGGCTGGGCAGGAGACCTGCTGCACTGAGTCTGCATTCAGACCCGGGGATTTGAGGGAAAAGTCCTCATTTATAGTGTTTATCTGAACACGATTATCTTTATAATGATATAAGTTGTGGTTATCTTTGTATGAAATTACAAATAACAAATGTAGCTGGGCATTAAATCACTGTTTACTTCTTTGCATTTTAACTTTGTAAACTATAAAATCATGGGTCTCCTCACGATTTGTGTCACATTTTGTGAGCTAACTGACAACAACAGTTGTTCGCTCCCCTCCTTCTTCCCTGCTGGCCACGCCCACCCCCGCCCTTTGCTTGCGGAGCTCCACGCCCATTATGATGCATCTTTTGAAAAAATTCTGAGGTAGACCTGAACCGAAAATGGGGGGTGTCATGACCCTTTAATCTTAGATGATGTTCGTTTCTAAGTAATGCCTAATAATGCTTTAAAGTTGTAATCATTTTTTAAATAGAGTAAAATTAAGCAAATTCAGCTGTATTTTTAAACTAATATTAACATAGTACCTGTAATAAATCTGGCTTTTTCTCATTAACTTATGTTTATTATAAGACATCACTGTAAAGTTTTACCTATTGTGCTTTATCATCCTTTTGCAATTGTGTTTGGTTGAAACATTTGTTTACTCTCTGAACATGTATAAACAATATATCAGTACACTAGTATTTGTGTTGTTAATATCCCTGTTAAAGTAACCTTTTTGAAGCTTGGGTCAATACTGTGATACTGCATGAAAAAAGTGTTGCATGCAGAACTGTTGCAAACAATTTATTTGTGTTGAATTTAAACAAACAAATTAAGTTTAATTATGTTCAACTTAATTAGTTTGTTTAAATTCAACAAAAATAAATTGTTTACAACCATTTAACGAAAAAAATTGAGTAAATCCAAGGAATCATCTTTGAATAATGTTTTTCAGTGTACTGTGATGAAAGCTTCAGTAATGAATCGCAGCAAGAAAACTTTATACTGAAAGTATGAATCAGCTGAATTCTGAATTAATTTTCAGCCAAGTGCTTCAAAGTTCTAGCATAATATCAGCAGGGTTTTCTTTATCATTATCTTATCTGGTCCTGTGTGCTTGTGTTTCAGGGATCTTTGGACAGAAGTTAGAAGAGACAGTTCGATATGAGCGTCGTTATGGCAACAAGATGGCACCCATGCTGGTGGAGCAGTGTGTGGACTTCATCCGCAACTGGGGTTTACGTGAAGAAGGCCTGTTTCGTCTGCCAGGACAAGCCAACCTTGTCAAAGAGCTCCAGGACGCTTTCGACTGTGGAGAGAAGCCATCTTTTGACTGGTACTTGCTCTTAATGCACTATATTTACAGTGTCTGTTGTGACTTTTTTTAAGACAATCTTCCATATTATTTAGATTGATCCAGATTTACTCAACATAGGCTCATTCTAAAAAAAAACAAAGCCCTATATACATTTTTTGGAAATTGCTAATTATGTAGCCAGAAGAACGTATGGCAGCATTTCGCCTTTAAAACAAACGCTGGTTTGAAAGGGTTCAAGCCCGGCGAAGAACAATTCTAGAAATGAGGTAAAACATAAAACAAAATCCAAAAAAATAAAAAATAAACAAGTAAATAACATGATAAAAGTCAGAGGAGGGCTTTTGTTTTTCTGGATTGCTTTTTAGAACTGTCGGTTGGGTTTAGGGAAGTGGGTGGGCAGGTCAATCAGTGATTTTGAAAACACTATTGGTTGGGTTTAGGGAAGGAGGATGGTGGGTCAGTCAATCATTCAGTCATTCAGTCAGTCAACAGCAGTCTGGTGGATTTATTTGAGAACAGCAGGCGAGAATGGCTCTCACGAGAGAAAGATGAGATATCAAAAAGCGTACAGAGCGGCCTCTGGTGGAACTGGTGGGGGAAAAAAATGAGCTCCTGGGACGTATTTGATGCTCTCCAGAAATATATATACTGGTACATTTTCAGAATGAGCCTAGGTTGGATTTACTTTATTATTATCTCTCTGGTGAGTTTCTTTGTATCAAGAACATGCATTTTAGAAAATGTAAATATAGACACGGATGATTTAAATAAGGATTTCATTGTAAACAGGTCGGCTTAAATGGAATTAAAATGCATGTAATGAAGAATTTATGAATTTGTTTTTATATTTATGAAGTTTTAACCCTTGACTTTATAGTATTTGTTTATCCTACTGTGGAAGTCAGTGGTTACAGGTTTTTAGCATTCTTCAAAATATCTTCTTTTGTGTTCAGCAGAAAAAAGGAATATATACAATGTTGATTTAAATGAGGTTTTCGTTGTAAACAGGTAGGCAGAAATGGAGCTAAAATGCATCCAATGAAGAATTTGGGATTTTTTTGGTATTTTTCTGACAAAAACAGTTGACCAAATTGACCAAAACACAACTGGTGATTCGTCTATCTAAAATAGAAGAGTATGATGACTGCAATGCTGATCACAATGGTAATGTTTAAATTAAGAAAATGGCATTAGGAAATTTGGGGTTTTGTGTTTTATTAATGGTTAGGGTTGGAGTTAGGGTTAAGGTTAGGGTTACCCCTAACCCTCCGGGGCCTGAGGTGTTTTGGGGGCCTGGGGAACTTTTGACATACCCTGACATTTGGGTTTTTTCAGTTGCATTTAAACGTGTAAGTGGCTAAAGTGTGATACCATAGAAAACAGCACAAACTAGGCTACAATTAGTCATGTTATGTCATTTAAATACATGTTTGTGTTTTTGAGAAAGAAACATGTATGTGTGGTAAGTAAAAAACACTGAAATAGTAACTGAAATAACTCCATGAACCGCATACTGTAAATTTGTTCTTTTAACCTAGATTTATGCTTTAAAATTTAGTTGAAAATCATCTTGTTTACTTGCTTAAAGAAAAAAAATATTGTTTGACAAGTGGAAATGGTCTATGCGAGGAGGCAAGAACTATTACTAATGCAGTGATTCACACCTGGGGTTAAACTGATTAAATGTGACTGCATTCATTCATTCATTCATTCATTCATTCATTCATTCATTCATTCATTCATTCATTCATTCAGCCCATCACTGGGAAACACCCTTACACTCTCATACACACACACACACACACATACACCACGGACAATTTAGCTTACCACAGAAATGCCAACTGACCCAGCCGAGGCACGAACCAGCAACCTTCCTGCTGTGAGGCGACAGCGCTACCCACTGCGTCACCATAAATATATACATAGATATTGTGTAGAAGTATGTATTATTTTACATAAGGCTCTCATTAACTTTTAGTTCGTCAAAAAACTACCAAGAAGCAATGCATTTTCAGAACTAATAATAATAATAATAATAATAAAAATAAATATTTTTAAGCAGCAAATCAGCATAATATAAGGATCATGTGATGTGCTGAAACTACAGCATTGACTTTAAAAATGTAAATAACATTTAATTTATTATCTGCTGAGGATATTTTAATAAAATCTACCACCAGTTTTTTGACCAGGGGTGTATTTTGAACTTGAATGTCGTTGCTTTGGAGGAACAAGTCTGCAACACTTTCCTCTCTATCAGATCGTAGCATTTAATGAACTGAACTGAGTCCTCATTAAATGCATGTTTACTCTGGCTCCAGTGATAAATCAAAGTGAAAAGATGCAGCTGACAGCTCTGTTTACAGTCTATGAAGCTTGTTCTACATACATCCGCTTTATTAGGAAACCCGTACGCTTTCCATCTTTTGGCTTTTTGCTTGATCAAACTGACTTGCTTTCGTCTCTGATGCCTGTCATTACAATAAAGCAGAGTATAAATATGGAATGTTCATTCAGATGTGAGCAGTTTTTAACAACTCCGCTTTGTCTTTTTCTCCCTCTATACGACATTTTCCCAGCATATACAGTTGAAGTCAGAATTGTTATCCCCCCTGATTTAGCCCCCCTGTTTATTTTTCCCCAATTTCTGTTTAACGGAGAGATTTTTTCAACACATTTCTAAACATAATAGTTTTAATAACTAATTTCTAATACCTAATTATCTTTACCATGATGACTAAATAATATTTGACAAGATATTTTTCAAGACCCTTCTATATAGCTTAAAGTGACATTTAAAGGCTTAACTAGGTTAATTAGGTTAACCAGGCAGGTTAGGGTAATTAGGCAAGTTATTGTATAATGATGGTTTGTTCTGTAGACTATCGAAAAAAAAAATATAGCTTAAAGGAGATAATAATTATTAAAAAAATTCAAAACTGCTTTTATTCTAGCCAAAACAAAACAAATAAAACTTTCTCCAGAAGAAAAAATATCATCAGATATACTGTGAAAATTTCCTTGCTCTGTTTATTTTCCCAAAACATCATTTGGGAAATAAAAAAAATCAAAAATCAAAAAATCAAAGGGGGGCTCATAATTCTGACTTCAGTCATATTTCTTTTAGAGGTTTTCTCCTATTTTTTTTCTACCTACAGTATTTATCATTTAGGTGATGTTTTTCTACTGTCAGACTGAAAGTTTGTAGTATTTGAAGTATTTTGTCCAGTTTAAAGGGATAATTTATCCAAAAATAAAAAGTTTGTCATTTAATAACACTCAAAATAGTTCACACCTTTATGAGTTTCTTTCTCTTGTTAAACATAAAAAAAAGATATTTCGAGAAATGTTTTAAACAGGGCTGTGTAATATGTCAAAAATCTCATATCACACACACACACACACACACACACACACACACACACACACACACACACACACACACACACACACACACACACACACACACACACACACACACACACACACACACACTTTTTGGATATGCGCATAAAAAAAGACTTAATGGAAATGCCAAAATGTGCAGAATAAAAATGTGCATAAAAAACGTTTGTGCGTAACTGAGTAGAGATCACTTTTTTATAGATAAGAAAAAAAGTGCATAAACTACAATGGAAACACATTTACTGAACAAATTCCAGTGTGCACATTAAAAAAAGTCATGTGATTTTGTTATAAGAGATCATGTGATGATAAAAATGTGTGTGAATGGACAAACCAGCACACTGTAGAACATCTGAAATGTTGTTTTGGTCATTCTAAAATGCCTTAACCATTTCAGTATTAGTGTTATTATATTATTAATTACCTCCAGAACTGTCAAGAGCGTCTGTGCACCGCGTCTCACGGCTTAAAACGCCACTATTGCATGTCGGCATCATCTTCTGAGGAGCAAGCCATTTATTAAATAACTAAAAGATTCACGCAGCTTCTTCTACCACAGCAAATTCTGTTTTTACTGTGGATATTTGGTGCCAGTTAATCAGGAAGTGACAATTTTGTTCTCTTTGACTCGTTTAATAGAAACGCTGCTTTATACACACGTCTTTTATGTGATATTTCAGTTTTGCACATAACGTTAATTCGCATTTTTGGATGAAAACATAGCTATTGACGCTGTGTGGCTGAACCTCACTTTCATTCAAGGCAAACTGATGATATGGAAATGTGATTTTAAAGTACTTTGTAAAAATATACTGACATGATTGACTTGTTTTGCTACTATTGATTACTTATGTGTCAGAAAAATACTACACTAATTTCAGTTGATTTAATGCATTGGCTCCGTCAAGCCTTTTAAAAAACGTCACCTGCATTTTTAGCCAATCATCATTAGTTATGTGGTTGTCCCTCCTCTGCAAACACAAGCACCAATCATTATCAGTTATGTGCCCCACTCACACACTCACAAGAGCAGGCTGACAGAGACAGATGGAAAGCGCTTCAGTGAGCTCAGTTGCAAATTTTATATCAATTATATAATGCTGCATTTTATTGTCAACGCTAATGCCATCGTAACGGGAAACAGTCATTTATTTGATTACTTGTTACTAAAAAAAGTTATTTTGTTAGTAAAGCAGTTTATTTGTAACGCCATTATTTCCAACACTGGAAAGACTGTATTTTTGACTATTAAAGGCAATTAATTCAGCATATGTTTTACACAGCGGATGCCCTATCAGCTGCAAACCATTCCTAGGAAAATGTACTCTTTCATATTAGATAATTTTCTGTATAAATGTATGTATAAATAACATAAATATACAAATGTGTAATAATAAACTACACTTTTTAAAAGCTAATTATTACTAGCCCAAAATAAACTATGGTGACATATTAATTTAAGGTGACATACAGTAGTTACATCGTTCCATGCACGCACTATAGTATTTACAATGAATTATGCATAATTACATGTAACCAACTCTAAGCAACCCCCATTCTATCCCCAATTGCAGCCCATGCTAATTCTGAAAACGTACCTCAATATACATTTCAGGAGACCGCGAAATGCATCCCAGGAGCTTTTGTTTTTTTCACGAATCTACGAGAGGCTGCTGTATACACTTTTTGAGATTTCAATTTTCTCTTGCGAGTTTCATTTGTGCCTGCTGTTCTCATGTAAACCCACTAGAGGCCGCTGTTGACTGACTGTTTGACTGACTGTTTGACTGACTGACTGACTGACCGATCGACAGACCCACCCTCCTCCTTCCCTAAACCCAACCAATTTTGTTGATTGACCCGCCCACCCTCTTTCCTAAACCTAACCAACAAAAAGCAAAAGCAATCCAGAAAAAGAAAAGTTCTCGTCTGATTTTTACCATGTTTTCAGATTTTACCACAGTCTCACCCTGTTATTTACTTTTTTATTTAATTTTTTGGATTCTTTTTTTTTGTCTTACCTGCTTTCTGGAACTGTTCACCAGACTCGAACCCCATCATCATGTTCAACTCCTCTCTGAATCTCAAGCCCGCCGACGTACATGGCGAGCTAACAGGACAAATCTGGTTACAATGGGAAAGCCATCAGCTTGAAAGCGCAAAAAGGAATGGCGTCATACCGCCCCTTGGCTTTCATTTAAAAATGAAATGCAGCCATACGTACTTCTGGCTACATAATTTGCGGCCTCCAGAAACGCATATAGGGCTACGTTTTCAGAATGAGCCTATGTTGCCCAATCATATAGTAAGTACATGTAATCAATGAATATTGCTCAGTAGTTAAATGAATACTTAAACTGTAACAAAGTAACAAAATATTGCAGATTTAATTGCAAAATGTTAAAAGCTTGCAGCCTTCTCATCATTCTGTTATTTATGTTTCTGCCTGAATCAATATTGATCATTTGAAAGACGACAAAGTATTACAGTAAAACGTGTATTTTGCATCTCCATAAACAATCCATTAAAAAAAAACTATTCAGCGTAGAGACTTTTTTTGTTTTGTCCAAACGATATATATCGTCATATTGCACAGCCCTTGTTGGAAACCTGCAACCATTGACTTTTTCTTAATAAGGAAGTCAATGGTTACAGCTTTTCAGCATACTTCAAAATATCTTCTTTTGTGTTCAACAGAAACTCACAAAGGTTTGGAATCACTTAAGGGAGAATAAATAGCGAGGTTTTTTATTTATAGCAGAGCTATGACTTTAAGCTAATCTTACCCCATGACATAACCTTTAAAATATAGACATTACAATTTTTCTTAGAAGATTTCTCTGCACTTCCACAACACCAAACGCTTCAGATCCCACCAGCAGCTGTTTCCCGGTTTATTTACAGTCTGCGATTTTTAGAGATGGCTGTCAGAGCGCCACTATCATGCTGTCAGACAGAAACGCGGCAGGGAAAGCGCACTGCATATTTAACACCGTTCATATTTAGATCTCACTGCTGTCTGAAGCAAAGGTGATAATTATTAAGGGTCACTGCACTGAAAATTCATTTGACGGTTACATTACACATGTGGCCGCTATTCCTGTGCAGCCCACCCAGGAAGTGTCAATAAATCCAGTTTGTTACAGTGTTGTCACAAGCACAGGTCCTCTATGGAGTTGTTTTGCTAGTACTTACTCTGATTTATCACCAGCTTCTTGGTACTCATCATTACATACACTGGGATACAGACTTTATACTGTAGCCCACAAAGAGTCTGGTATCAGCTTGTCTTTATTGATTGAAAAAGCCATATTATTGTAGTAATATGTTTCAATGACTAAAAACACATCTCTTCCGGGATCACCTGAACCCCTGTCAGCAAAACCACAATGTCCACTCATTGACACCAACCCAGGCTCATTCTGATTACCTATATACATTTCTGGAGAGTGCCAAATACATGCCTGGAGCTTCGCTTTTTTGCTGTTTTTGTTTTCGCTAATCCACCAGAGACCGCTATTCAGGCTATTCATTTTTGAGATCACAAATTTCTCTCACAAGTGCCGTCGCACCTGCTCTTCTCATGCAAATCCACTAGAGATCACTGTCAACTGACTGTCTGACTGACTGACTGACAGACCAACTGACTGACTGACTGACCGACCGACCCACCCACTTCCCCAAACCCAACCTTCAGTGTTTTTAAAGCAATCCAGAAAAAGAAAAGCCCTCGCCTTGTTTTTAGCACGTTTTCAGATTTTACCACATTCTCACCCTATTATTTACATGTTTGTTTTATTTTTAGGCTTTTGTTTTTGTCTTGTGCTACTTTTTTGGCAAGCAGCCATGTAATAAGCAGGATAATGCACATCTAGGTGGTTGTTTTCGCAAAATAAATTTCGCAAAACAGCTGCTGATAAGCCTTTCTGACTTTTATTATTCAAGAATAACTGCTTAGATGTACATTATCCCTTACTGTATGTATGTATTATTGAATATTGGCACATTTTTAGTTTTGACTAATTTAAGTCCAATTTTGGTGCATTGTATTTGATGTAGGGGTTTTGTAAACCACTGTGCTTGTTGGGACACCAGAATCAATAATTTAATCTTGTATAGTGTATCATAGTGGAAGTCACATCTGGGATGCAAAGTCCAATCGATTTGCTTGATCATCTGCATTGTCAGGATCTGACTCTCTAATAATAGTACAGTATACAGTATGTAGAAAAGTCTAGAGCTGCAATAATGTAAAGTATATGAAAAATTAACGAAATAACAATCTTTCAAAGCAGCATGTGTGTGAATGCTTCTAGATTTTTTTTTTCAGTGATCAACATGTATTGATTTTGTCTTCTCTTTTCATATTTGCCTGCAGTAACACAGACGTTCACACCGTGGCATCCTTGTTGAAGCTGTATCTGAGAGAGCTGCCAGAGCCCGTCATCCCGTTCTCCAAATATGAAGAGTTTCTGGCCTGCACCAAACTCCTCAGTAAAGACCAGGAAGCGGTGAGTTATTTCGTAACATCTGATTCAGTATATGAAGGCATAGATACTTGAAGTTGCTGAGTCTTTTATTTAGGCATGTTCATGTACTGAAATTGAATTTTGAGTAGGGGCGGGGCTTTCTTTTGCCAATCATAGCAAACTAAACAGTAAGAGGGGCGAGGTTAAGAATATTTTGGCTGAAGCCGTCAAACTGACATCATCAGAGAAGGATTGCCACTCCAAATATAGAAGCAAATGGAAAGACTTTGATTGATTGAAGATTGAACAAACATATTTTTTCAAGTAGATTAACTTGCACGGATTAATTGTTCACCTGAACCGGTGAACCGGGAGTGTTTTTCACAGAAACCGGAGCACCCGGAGGAAACCCACCCAAACATGGGAAAAACATGCAAAGTCCACACAGAAATGCCAACTGGTCCAGCTGGGACTCAAACCAGCGACCTTCTTGCTGTGAGGCCACAGTGCTAACCACTGAGCCACCATGCCGCCTGAAATAAAACAACTTAATTAAATGAAAGTTTCGACTTTTGAATTTAATGACAAAAATTTACTAAGAAAGTGACATTACAAAAGATTTACAAGAAGTTTTAATTGTCAGCAATTGATTAACTTCTGTTAACAAATGGAGACTTATTGTAAAATAATTATTGATCAATTACGCTACAAAAAAATGTGCAACACCAATCAATTTCCCTGCGCATAAGATCATGGGGGCTGAAATGTCCCTCTGTCTAAATGCTTCATTGTTTGAAGTGGCCAGTTTTGAGTACTTCAGTTTGGAATGACCCTTCAATATGGCAGCTATGGCTGTTTTTTTTTTTTTTTTCTGAAATGTGCTTCAGAGATTGATATATCCTGTTTGGAATACAGAGTTTCAGAGCCCTCTGGTTTATTTCATGAAGCTCTGAGTTTCAGCATTGGATTCAAATGTATTCACTCGATTGAATAGGCGTTATCGGTGGTTATCAGCTGATGAATATGGGCCAGTAGGGGCCTTCTGCAACTACTAGTAAGCTCAGAAGGCTGTAATCAGCAAAAGATAACAAAGCTGTTAATCAGCTAAAGATCCCAAGACGAGAATTATTTATATTGTTTATTAAATTTTCCATAATTGTATTTTATTAACGTCTACCGCTACCCCAACCCTAAACCCAGCCATCACAGTAATGTATAAACAGATCTGCATCTGGAGTCTTCTCTATTACTATAGATGATTAACCATCATAATTATTTATATCATTTATTAAATTTCCCATTAATTGTATTTTATTAACGTCTACCGATACCCCAACCCTAAACCCAACTGTCACAGGAATGTAAAAACGGATCTGGATCTTGTGTGTTCTCTATTAGTATAGGTGATTAACCATGTGGATGGATGATAACAGCCTTTTGAGCCTACTAGTAGGCACAGAAGGGCCCTACTGACCCATATCTATCAGCTGATAACCACTGACAACACCCATTCAATCGAGTGATAACATTTGAAGCGAGTGATATCAGAGTAGGTTCAGAGTTGCCAAAACCAAACAAATTCAACCTGGCTTAGATCAGGTTCAGTGGCAAGTTTGAGATTGTTCGAAATATAAACATAATCATACCTCAAATAAAAATCAAAAACTACAATATTGCTACAAGTTGTGTTCTTTAACTAACTCATTTTTACTTAGTGAATGGGGAGTTTTATTTTTCAGAGACTGGTGCATTTGAGTGGATTGTTGGGTTCATTTGGGCAGGTTTGAACATGCAACTACACTTGGATCCATACCAAAACAAGTTTGAGACTGGTTAAAATGAAAACAAACTCTGGAATTGATCACTTGAAATGAGAAAGAAATTTGACCCTACTGAACAACAAATCTTAAAAAGCAGCAGTGTGTGATTCCAGCTAAAAACCAAAGATGAAGACCCTTTAATGCCTGTAAAAAGTGTTATTGCTCTTCATGGATTGTGAGAAGTCTTGAATCATGTTATTAATTATATGTCATACCTTGTCAATCCGTCATAACATCTTCCTCTTGATGAATAACAGTTTTACTTCTTTTCTCTTTGGCGCACTTTAAAATGTTGCCTTTTAAAAGTGAAAACAAGAAAAAAATGCAAGATTGTAAAATTGAACTCCCTATTTAGGAACAAAGCAAACAATCTGCAATGCCCTGAAGTGAACAGACTGAATAAAAGTACGTTCTCTTCATAATGAGCCTCGTTGTAGACTCAAGGTATTTTTGACCTCCACTTGCTTTTCTGTTTGAGCTCTGTTCCCATCAGCAGGCTGGCATATGACTCATCCCATTATTCAACTGCAGTCGTCTTTCATCTCAAGCACATCCATTTCTTCCCTCTTTTTTCTTTCACTGAGCCTGAAGAAAAAACTGATCGACCCTGAGAAAAAAAGCAGCCTCATTCTGACTTTCAAGTTAGATTTTTACCTTCCACAAATCAACATCACGTCCAGCCAGAGGCGTCTGAATCGTTTCAGAACTGAATCAAAGTGTACGGCGGGTCTTGCAACACTGAATTTAATTTACTGCCCCAACATATTTAACTAAACTCTCATACATTTTAGAGTCCCTCGAGTACGGTACATGCGAAAAATAAAATCATGGTACCACCTCAAATGAAGCAGAAGGCTGTAAGGGATTCATTTGTTTTTGAGATATTGCTTTCTCATATGATGCAGCCATTCTCATCAGAGAAAGCCTGCAGGGAAAAGACATATCGACCATGATAAAATAGATCTGGAATAGAGCGCTTCATTAAATCCAGACCGTCGTCGATTGTTAAACTCATTGACCCATGCTTAGCTGAATAAGCAGTGTAATAACAAAATAAATTGTGATATGAATATTTAAAGCAAATTAGGAGGAGTTCAACAGGCTTTTAAAAGCATGGGATTTATTAAATTGTCTTTTTAACCAGTACATCTTTTAGTTCAGATCATTTAAAATTGGATTACATGAATCAGTTTAAACAAATGTATGAAGATTTTTTCCCCCCTGATATGTATTTAATTGATTTTCTCTATACAGGGAATGAAGGAATTAAGAAGACAAGTAGAAGCTTTACCTGTGGTGAACTACAATCTGCTTAAATACATATGCAAGTAAGTGTTTATTTCTGTTTAATTGTGGTTTGTCACAGTAGAACAATGACAGTGTTTCATTATAATATATTTGGTAATACTATATTTTGATAGTCCGTTTGTTGACTTAAACTCAACTCAATTCATTTCTAGAGCACTTTCAACCAACCACAAAGGGTACCAAAGTGCTCCACATTATACATGCAAACATACAAGGAACCAAAGTACATTCAATTCAATTCAATTCAGCTTTATTTGTGTAGCGCTTTTACAATGTCGATTGTGTCAAAGCAGCTTCACATAAATGGTCATAGTAACTGGATCATTGTAGTTCAGTTTTTAGTGTTTAAGTTCAGTTCAATTCAGTTTAGCTCAGTTCAGTGTGGTTTAAAATCATTTCTGAGATTCCAAACTCATGTACATGAGCTCACAACACATGATTAAAAGCTAAAGAAAATAAGTGTGTTTTCAGTGACCTCTGAAAAGACTCAACAGTTGGAGAAGTTCTTATGGAGAGTGGAAGATTGTTCCAAAGTCTTGGAGCTGCTACTGACAAAGCTCTATCACCTCGACATTTCAAGCATGATCGTGGAACTCGCATATAAAAAATCTAAGAGATCTTACAGTTTGGAGTATGTTAATTAGCTCGAAAATATACTCAGGGGCCAGGCCATGGAAGGATTTAAAAACATTCAGCTGTACTTTGTACTGAATTCTAAACTGGATTGGTAGCTAGTGTAAGGAAACCACTACTGGTGTGATGTGCTCTCGTTTTTTTGTGTCTGTTAAAAGCCTGGCAGCTACGTTTTGGACCAGCTGCAGTTGCTAGAGAGAGGCCTGACTCACACCCAGATACAATGTGTTGGAATAATCCAGACGAGAAGAGATGCAGGCATAAACAACCTTCTCCAAATCTCTGAAAGAGAGGACAGACTTCAGCTTGGCAATATATCTAAAATAGAAAAAAACTATTTTCGACTGCCACATTCATTTGGCTATCAAATTTGAGCTCCATTTAATTTAAGCTCAAATTTAATTTAAGTTACATTGCATCTACATGCCAACTAATTCTCATTAGATTAGAGGTAGACTGTTACTGTAGGTTGGGGTTAGGGTTAATGTAAGTTGACATGTACTTGCAACGTTTCTTTTAGTCAGTTAAATGTCTGTTGAAGGAGCATTATCAGCAAATATTAAGAAAACAGCTCACTAATACTTAATTGGACCATCAAAATAAAGTGTTACCATATATATTAAACCTGTTAGTTTTGTGCTTAGCACATGCAAGGCACTGGTAAAGATCGACGATTAATGTTAGTTTGGCAAGCTGAACAAATTCTGTATTGTACAGGAGACACAGAGGTGATTGATTAACAATGGTTTACAGCCAATCAGGATGCAGAACACAATGCGCTGTAAACAAAATGAATAAAGTCAAGCATGTCAAATTGCACTAAAAAAAGTCGGCGAAAGTGCAAGCTGAGAAAGGTGAACCACGTTATAACGAAGAACCACTGTATATTGTTATCAGGAAATGAGATGACTTACAGTTGTCAAAACTTTTAGCCCCCGTTTATTTTCCCCCACAATTTCTATTTAACTGAGATAAGATTTTTACAACACATTTCTAATCATAATAGTTTTAATAACTCATTTCTAATAACTTATTTTTATTTATTTTATGTTTGCCATGATGACAGTACATAATATTTTACTAGATATTTTTCAAGACACTTCTATACAGCTTAAAGTGGCAATTAAAGGCTTAACTCGATTAATTAGGTTAACAAGGCAGGTTAGGGTAATTAGGCAAGTTATTTTATAACGAGGGGGTTTGTTCAGTAGACTGTCAAAAAACAGCTTAAATGGGCTAATATTTTTTGACCTTGAAATGGTTTTTAAAAATTAAAAACTGCTTTTATTCTAGCCAAAATAAAACAAATAAGACTTTCTCAAGAAGAAAAAATATTATCAGACATACTGTGAAAATTTCCTTGCTCTTTTAAACACCATTTGTGAAATATTTAAAAAAGAAAAAAAAAATTAAAAGGGGGGGCTAATAACTCAACTTGACTTCAACTGTATATCGTAATATGAGATTTTTTTCATATCTCGAAGCCCAATTTTCAGCAATTAAATTCTATTTATAAACAAATTAAAAATAAAGTAAAAATGTCCCAATTTGCTTCTCAATCAAATGGGTACATACAGTGTCAGAAATCAGCTACAATGTAATTTTTTTTTCTCTTATCCAGGTTTTTGGATGAAGTTCAATCCTACTCAGGTGTGAATAAAATGAGTGTACAGAATCTGGCTACAGTCTTTGGGCCTAATATTCTGAGGCCAAAGGTTGAGGACCCAGTGACTATAATGGAAGGTAGGATTTCAACCAACCTCTCTCATTTCAGACATCTCTGAATCATAATTATTTTCTGACGTTTGATCGATGTGTTTGTTTCGTCAACAGGAACAGTGCTGGTCCAGCAGCTGATGGCTGTTCTGATTGGTCAACATGACGTTCTTTTCCCTGCCGAAGAGGAGCACTCTAGCACCCTGGAATTGGTCAATAATAACAATAATGAGACCCAGAAACAGCCTACCAATGGCCAGCTTCAAAACAAAGAGAACAATAACACCACCGGGGCACGACAGTGCACTTGGGATGCCCCCGAATCACCCAACCGCACTCCTCTGGACAATGGCTCACCCCGTTCGGGAAGCCCACGTAATGGTTTTACAGGACAGAAATTCGAGGTGACCCGCAGTCCACCATTAGCGGTAAAAAAGAATCCAGCTTTCAGCAAAGGTAGCGGGATTGTCACCAATGGATCATTCAGCTCCTCTTCATCATCCTCCGGTGACGCCAGTCAAGACAAAACCCAGACTCTACCCAATATGGGAACGCTCCATGCCCGTCGTACTGGTGCGATAAAGGGCTCAGGCACCAAAATGGGCGTTCAAAATGGTGTGGTCAGGATGGGTGTATCCAGCACGGATGTAACTAATGGGACTATAAATGCGAGAAATGGACTCTGGGTTCCTAATGGTCACGTCACAATGCGCGATGGGAAAAGTCGAGAACCTGAGCACCAGCAAAACCGCCTGTCCACTTACGACAACGTACAAATCCACCAACAACAGATGACGCAGCCTAGCCTGAGCAGCAGCTGTGAGGACAAGCAAAGCGTTGATAGCGCCACATGGTCCACTTCCTCTTGCGAAATTTCCCTGCCAGAAAACTCAACCTCATGTCGCTCCTCTACGACCACATGCCCGGAGCAGGACTTCTTCGGCAGCAACTTTGAGGACCCTTTGCTGGACGGGCCGGTGCAGGAGGAGAACAGACTGGCGCTGGAGGACAGGGAGCAGCGGACCAGTAATGGAGGAGGCAGGGGAAGCAGAGGAACCAGCAACAGCAGCGAGAACAGCGATACGTTTCCTGTCACCAATGGACCGACCAATCACAGCGCACTGCACAGCCTGGTTTCCAGTCTTAAACAGGAAATGCTCAAGCAGAAGAATGAATATGAGGCCAGGATCAAGAGGTAAGAATCATGAACGTTTAAAGCTAATGGTATCAAGTTAGTGCTTGTCTTTGGCTCTGTCTGTTTAAACTTGGTCTTAACGAAATTATTTAGCAAGTGGTGGAAACCGTTTAAAAAGGTTTTCCTCTTTGAGCAGTTGAGAATGCATAGGTACTGTACTTGGCAACACATTTGATTGGATTACTTGTATTGTGTAGATGCTCATGTGGTTGTTTTTATTATTTTGTTTCCCTGTTGTTGTTGTTGTTTTGGATAAATGTATCTGTCACGTTAGCGAGAACATAACAGGAACAAAAACAGGTGTAGAATCCAAGTGCAGAATTGAATGACGATTGTGCAGTGAAAGTGACAAAAAAATACAAAAAAAATCCAAAGTACAAAGTAACAAACAAAACAAACAAGCACTCAAACAGTATAAAACTCGAACTAGACTTTGACAACTAAGACAAGATACAGAGCAAAATCAGGAACACATAACAATAAAGACGACAACAACTAACTAACAAATAGGGTATGAATGGTTGTATATATAGTCCAGGTAATCAACAGAGAAACAGAGACAGCTGTGATTGCAATCAGTGTATATGAAAGACCGGGTGTATGCGCGAAAGAATGTATGGAAATGTAGTTCTTAAGCCACTGTAGTTCGCTGGGAGTAGCTGGCGAACTACAGTGGCATCTTGTGGACAAACAGTCATGACAGTATCACCAAAAAAAAAATAAAAATTGTAAAACATTAAAAAAAGTTACAAAATAAAATTATCCTTTAAAAAATGAAGGATTAGTCTACACAAAAATTTAAATTGTGTAATTTATTACTCACAGTAATGTTGTTCCAATCACTTGAGACCTTGGTTTATCGTCAGGACATAAATGAGCATATTTTAGATGAAATCAGAGAGCTCCCTCATCCTCCATACACAGAAATGGCCCAGAGACCATTCAAAGTAAAAAAGGAACCAAAAATATTGTCAAAGCAATCCATGTGACTTCAGTGGCTCAACTTTAATCATACAAAGCTCACTTGACACAAAACAACTTTATTCCAAGTGTTGAATTCAACTAATTTTATTAAAGTTCTTTGTACATGACTGTATAAAATGGTCAATTTTAAATATATAACAAGTGAATATTAGGAGTAAGTGAAATGTTAAGTATGCCCAACAGGCACAGGATGTCAACATGACGTCAGATTGACATTGACACCCCAACGTCGTTGGACATTGCATTTTCTTTGGAAATGGAAGCTGGGTTAACGTCAGAACTTAACGTCAGGTCAATGTCGGACAGACTTTGCATTGTGGTTACTTTCCAACCAACCTAAAAACAACAAAATATCAACGTCTAATGATGTTACAGCTTGACTTAATGTGGACGTGACCAATATGACGTCTATCAGACCATACCTGCCATCCCTGACGAATAAGTGTCAGTATTTGATGTCAATATGGTGTATTTTGGTGACTATCCAAAACAATCTAAAATCAACAAAACATCAATGTTATTTTACTTCATTATTGGATGTCAAAATAAGTTGGTCCTTAGACGCTGGTGACCTAAATCTAACTTAATATCTAACAACATCTTATGATGTTGTGTGTCTGCAGGGTAGGAAGGATATTCAAGGTGCTACATATGCTCCTGTATGAATTACAAAGGTGTTTGATTTAAAATTAGTGGTGTTTGAAAAAGTCCATGGAAGTTTCTTGACTCTGGTGTCCATGAAAGTGAACCCTGTAACCACATCAACAGATTGACCCACTCTTCTCATCTTCACTGTAGTCTTGAACATCGCAATCTGGAGCTGGAGGCGGTGATGGCGAATCTGCACGAAGAGCTGGACCAGGAAAAGAAGAAATACACCATGGTGGAAATCAAGCTGAGGAACGCCGAGCGAGCCAAAGATGACGCGGAGAAGAGAAACGAGATGTTGCAGAAAGAGATGGAGCAGTTCTTCTCCACCTTCGGAGACCTGACCGCAGACCCACGACGACCTGACCGAGCAAACACCATCTGGATTCAGTGAGGCCTGTTTTTAAAGTTATCTTGTTACATAATGTTGGTCATATTTGAACAGGACACTTTATTAAGCTTCAGCCTCTCCTCAGCATGGCACGTTTGGTGCCACACAGCTGAGTGAAGCCCATTGAGCCAAATTGTCAGCTGAATGTGGACCAGTTTTTGGATTGAACCCGTTTATGAAGAGAGACGATGGATGATGAGGTGAGGAGAGCGTTAAAATGAACCATTAGATGATGGCAAATTCTCGAAGGACGTCAGGAACACGAATGTCACTCGTATTTCTTCTTGTGATCTAACCAAATGTGTCCTTGAGCTGTCGCATTTGTTCTCGTGTACATAAAAAAATGCGAAAATTCCATGATGTCTGTATAAATGCTAATTCATGTTCAATGGACGTACTGATATTTAAAGCGGAGAATTCTCCATGTGTTACATATAGGTTTTATATCAAGGCTTTTCCTTGCACTTAAAGCGTTATGAGTTGCTATGCTGTTTTCTGGTATGGTACGACGAAGTATGAAATGTGGCCAACGTTGGAATATCGTTCTGTCTGATCGGTTTTGTTTTGCGTAAGTTATCATGGGAAATATTCATCAGTATACAAATAGGATGTCTTTTAACTTCACTGTAACAGATTTTATGGAAGCGTCTTGCCTTAAAATGGTAATTATTAAATACATTTCAGACTTTTCTCTGAATTGCAGGTTTATATCTCACAATTGCACGTCGTAAACATCACAACTCTAAGAAAAAAGGCTTTTATGTTGGGTAAAGTTTTAAACAATTTGCTAAGTCAGAATTGTGAAACACAAACTTAGAATAGTGAAAGTGTCAAAGTTCTGAAGAAAAGTCTAAATTGCGAAAATACTTTTTTCTCACAATTTTGAGTTTACGAATTGAAACGTTCAATTCTGATTTTGTCATTCGTAATGGTTGGGCAATTTTTAATTCTAAGCTTGAATAATAAAGGCATAATGACCAAAACTCACCAATCTAAATTACATCATATAAAGTGAATTCTAAACAAAATGTTAATAGTTTAAATGTAATTTAATCGTGACTAATTGCATACAAAATAAAAGTGTGTGTATGTGTGTATATATATATACATATATAAATATATACAGTGCTCAGCATAATTGAGTACACCCCATTTTGAAATAACATTTTATATTTTTTATCCATTTCTTAATGTATTTTGGTTCATTTAAACAAAACATATTTATTAAACAGATAAATTTATTAAAATATTATTTTAGTCACCAAACATATTCAGAAATTGAAATATAATACAAATAAATACAAGCAAAATATTGCAAAAAAAAAAAAATTTAAACCTACAAAATTCCAACAAATATTTTGTTTTATATATTTTTTTGCTTCTCTTGATTTTTCCTCTTTTTTTAAAAATTTGTTTTTAATATTTTTCTCTTATATTTAAATTTGGATGTACTAGTTTTTGAACTGTTGTTGTAAGTTATTTTGTTAGATAAGCTCCACATTTGGTTTCAGTACTGACTAATCTTATGTATATACACAAATATAATATTGCTTAGCTTCCTATTAAAAGAATTTAAAAGATAGATTTTTGAGGGGTGTACTTATTAACGCTGAACAGTGTATGTATGTATGAATATATATATATATATATATATATATATATATATATATATATATATATATATATATATATATATATATATATGCACACACATACACATGTACATACTTTAAAAATATTACATTTTATATTTAAAAATAATTTAAAGTTATATATAAATATTTTATATATAAAAAAACATATATGTTTATACAGTACAAACATACAGGGATGTATTTATATATACAGAGTACACCAAAATTATGTAAACTTAAGCTTTTATTTTGTATGCGATTAGTTGGGATTAATCTTCAACAGCATAAATGTCAACACTTAATTCCAAGTTGTGAACTCAAAACTGCTAAATTTAATCTGACATATTATCCCAGTTCTGTCTTTTTTCCCCCCAGAATCGAAAGATAAAAAACATTTTCAAAACATGTCGAACGCAGGGCTCAACAATAGGGATGGCCCGGGGCCAGCGTGAGAGACGCTTGGTACAGTAGACAGAGTCGTTACTTGACCGATTGTGCCAATGCTGCCTTGTCACTAAATTTTAATTAGCCTGTGACTATTTGTCAATTGTGTGCAAATACAGTCTTAAAATCGAGAAAGTTTGTGCTTTTAAGCCTTTAAATAATACCTTCTCTGTGAATTCGTGAACACAATATTGCTTTTCGTTTCCTCTGATCTGATTGGATGTTGTGAGCATGTTATTTTTTCCATAACCTGCTAAAAACCAGTACAGCGAAGAGACGGCAAAATGACTGCAACATCAAATTATGAGGTTAAAAGAAAACGTCTGTTTCTAACGTTGTGGAAACACGTTCACATGGGTACAACAACGAAAAAAAGAAGGGATGTTTTGAATAGTTTGCTGTCACTTTCAAGTAAGCCACCTTTTGTTTTGCAATATTAAAATACCTGCACATCTTCCATATTGCTATATTTACTGCTAAATATTTTAACTTTTTTTAATATTACATTTTTAGATTCACAGACATTATTTTTGACACATTATTTAAAATATGTGGCTAAGAAATAACTATTTATTGCTTTTTTAAATATTTTTTAAAGTGAAAATTTTGGAAGGGCAAGCAAAAATCGGTAACACTGTCCAATCGGACCAGTAGAAAAAAATCCTTAGCGTTAAACCCTGGAACATACGTTTATTTATAATTGATGATTTTAAATCACAAGATAAAAACACAATTGCAAGAAATAAAGTTAAAATACCGAGAAGTAAACTAGGATAGCCAACACAACCTTACAGCAATTCGTAACTTTTTGATTCAGTGGCTAATTCATATAAATTTGTACGATCTCATTCATGCAATTTAGTATAATTTGCTCATCCCCCAATGACGGTTGTATTTAGTGGTGAGGTTTGGTGCCACGCCTCCTTTTTAAAATCCTATATTTTCGTACGACTGAACTTGTACGAATTCGTACGAATTAGCCTCTAAACTGACAAAACATAAAATAGTTGCGTTTCCTCGTGAGATCGGGCTGGATAGGCAGGTAAAATGTCTGAGGCGATTTCTTGCAGTTTCACAACTGTTTTTTTAAGTCGTAAATAAATTATAAAAAATCCTACAGATAGTCTTATATTAAAAGTCTAATGCTGGGTTTACGCCGAATGTGAATGTAAGTGTTTGCACGAGTAATTACATACAGAGACACGCTTGCCGTGAAGCCACATAATTCATTTCAATTGTGGTTTTTTGCACGAGTTCAAAAAATTCAACTCTAGTGAAACATTTGTGCGAAATAAAAAAAGGGAATGTACGTATTTGCAAAAGTAGATTACATACAGAGTCAATGCAAAACACAAAAAACATTTTCTGAAAAAAATTTCTGCTAGACATCACACGTGTGCAGTGAACGCACACAATTCGTCTCAATCATGTCTTCATGCGCGAGTTCAAATAATCGAACTCTAACTAAACATTTGTGACAAAATAATATGTGAATGTAAGTGTTTGCAACTGTAGATTACAAACATTTTTTACAAAAAAATTCAACTCCATAACGAAACATTTGTACGGGACAAAGCAAAGAAAACATAAGTAAATTAGAGCTTAGAAATTAGAGTGCTTGGTGTCTGCTGTAAACCCAGCATTAGCATCTTACATAAATGTAATTCTGATTTTATTTCACTAAAAAAAATAATTAAATACTGATGAAGAACGTTGTTTTTTATTGCCACTGCATTTCCCACAAGACCAAAAGCAAGCAGAGCAGGAGGCGTGTAAATACTTGTGTTTGTGGTTTGCTGGACGAGAGCAGCATCTGTTCACATGAAGACTGAAGCTTTGACCATGGATCTTGCTGTCTGTGTGTTTGGGCTCTTTGGCTTTGTCTCAGCTCTCCATGCTTCTACTGTAGCCTTGATGCATTCGGTGAAATGCAATGAAATTAAATTATGTGACCTCATATTAAGTTGTCGTGTGTTTATTGTGTTAACCAGCGGGTTGGAATGCAGATGCAATCTGTGGGTGGTCTGATATTTACAAGCACAAAATGAACTTTATGTATTAGTATAACATCCTCCTAAACTATTGTTGGAAATCATCCAGGAAAAAATAATGCCAGTGTGCCTTAGTGATTGGTATTGAAATGTCCGGTTACAGTATGAATCTTCAAATATGTGACATAAAACATACAGAATGATACACATTTGCTAGAAATTATAACAACTCATTCAAAATGTTATTAAAAAACACAAGAGTATCTCAATATAAAGTGGTGTATGGATAGATATAAGTGGCTACAAGTGTTCTGACATTCTTCAAAGTATCTTCTTTATGTTAAGCACTTCTATTGCTTTTGGAACTACTCAAGAGTGAGCTCATTTTCATTTTTGGGTGAACGGTCGTTTTAAACTCCTCTCTAGACATCTAATGCCACCCTGTTGCACTCTGGGAATGCACATGTTCAGCCAGTATAATGGTGCTTTTTAATCTAAAGATTGCCTCAGTGTATTTGACCGTCAGGCCCATGAGGTTCCTGTGCTCTCCGTCCCCACTCCGCACTGGATAATAGGCTTAAAGCAGCCGGACAAAGTAAACGCAGCCCACAAATTCCATTCTGAGCTGCTGATGACAGAAACAAGCCATCCAGGAATATTTTCACGCCAGGATTGATGTGAAGAATACAAACCTCTGGAAGCCGGACAGAAGCACAGATAATAGAGGTTTTGATTCCATTTTATAGAACTAAACCAAATGAAACGGAGCTTCACTGTATAGAGCTATTGAGATGATAAATGTGAGAGTGTGTGTGTGAAACAGAGAGTTTAGTCAAATGGAAATAAGAACTGTTTGGAGGTCCTGATAGCTACTCAGATCTACCATTAACCCATTGAAGTGTGCTGCATTTAAATCAGAAATGTTACATGCACAGAATACATTTCGAAAAACTTTCAGGCTCTGGTTATCTTAAAACTTTACTTCAACAGCAAAGCATACTATAAAAAACATGTTAATTTGTTATAAACATGCAAATGAGTTCATTTACGCTTCATAAAACATGTTAGAAACACAGTAGCAACATGATAATCTATGCTAACCAAATGTCAGTTAATGTTAGAAAGATTGTAAACAACTGAGGACAAGGTAATTCATAAAATGTGAAAACATTAGCCGTGTGTGGTAAAACATGTAGAAACATAGTAGCAACATGCTAATTCAAGCTAACAAAATATCAATTAATGCTAGAAAAATAATAAACATAGTAAGATTTCATAGTGTTTCATGCGACATGTGAAAATATTAGTCATGTGTGTTAAAACATGTAAGAAACATAGTAGCACCATGCTAAACTATGCTAACAAAATGTCAATTAGTGCTAGAAAAATGGTAAACCTACTAAGGACATGGTATTTCATACAACATGTGTGGTAAAACATGTTAGAAACATAATAGCAACATGCTAATCCATGCTAACATAAAGTCAGTTAATGCTAGAAAAATAGTAAACATACTATGAACATTCATACAATATGTGAAAACATGTTGTGTGGTAAGACATGTTAGACACATAGTAGCAACGTGCTAATCTATGCTAAGAAAATGCAAATTAATCCTAAAGAAATGGTAAACATACTAAGGACATGGTATTTCATACAACATATGTGGTAAAACATCTTAGAAACATAATAGTAACATGGTAATCCATGCTAATGTCAGTTAATGCGAAAAATTGTAAACATACTAAGGACAACAGGGCAGCGCGGTGGCGCAGTAGGTAGTGCTATCACCTCA